CTCTATACTGTTCCCCATGCTATTTAATATCTACATGAAGCCGCTGGGTGAGATCATCCGGAGTTTCAGGGTGCGGTGTCATCTGTACGCAGATGATGTCCAACTCTGTCACTCCTTTCCACCTGCTACTAAGGAGGCTGTCGAGGTCCTGAACCGGTGCCTGGCCGCTGTAATGGTCTGGATGAGGGCGAACAAATTGAAATTGAATCCAGACAAGACAGAGGTACTCCTGGTCAGTCGCAAGGCCGAACAGGGCATAGGGTTACAGCCTGTGTTGGATGGGGTTACACTCCCTCTGAAGACGCAGGTTCGCAGCTTGGGTGTGATCCTGGACTCATTGCTGAGCCTGGAACCCCAGGTCTCGGCGGTGACCAGGGGAGCATTTGCACAGCTAAGGCTTGTGCGCCAGCTGCGCCCGTACCTTGGGAAGTCTGACTTGGCCACGGTAGTCCACGCTCTGGTTACATCCCATTTAGACTACTGCAACGCTCTCTACGTGGGGTTGCCTTTGAAGACAGCTCGGAAGCTCCAACTAGTCCAACGCTCGGCAGCCATGATTTTAACAGGAGCGGAGCGCAGGGAGCATACAACCCCCCTGTTGCGCCAACTCCACTGGCTACCCATCTGCTACCGGGCTGAATTCAAAGTGCTGGCGTTGGCCTTTAAAGCCCTAAACGGTTCCGGCCCAAGCTACCTATCTGACCGCATCTCTGCCTATGAACCCACCAGGATCTTCCGGGGAGGCCCTGCTCTCGATCCCGCCTGCTTCTCAAGCTCGGCTGGCGGGGACGAGAGATAGGGCCTTCTCGGTGGTGGCTCCTCGGCTGTGGAACGCCCTTCCTACGGACATTAGACTAGCACCATCTCCAATGGTATTCCGCAAAAAGGTGAAGACCTGGATGTTTGTGCAGGCGTTTGAGTAATTTAGTGCAATCTGGTAATGGAACATAGGAAGGGAACAATGGACGACGAACCTGGACTACGCTTGGATGATGAGAAGATTGGGTACGGTTGTTTTTTGTAATAATTGTGCATTGTAATTGCTTATTGGTAATTTATGGATAATGTGTTAAGTCAATTGTTATATGTTGTATGGAACCACTGCTGTTTCTACTGTTTTTACTGTTTGTGAACCGCTGTGAGTCGCCTTCGGGCTTGAGATACAGCGGTATATAAGCAAAGTAAATATATATATATATATATATATATATATATATATTAAATTCTGAGATTCCAAACAGAATGAAGGGTACTGTAAATTTTAAAAATAGAATTACGTATAAATATTTCTACAGATTGTATCTTAAGACTTCTCCAAAGTTAATATAATAATTAGGACGCTACTGTTCATGTATGACAATATATTTTTACTCAAAAGGAAGTCTAATAAAGTTTGAATCCAGCTAACTTTAGAAATAACTTCCTGACTCTAGGAATGTTTGACAATGGAATAAGCTGCCCAAGTCTACATTTTAGGATGTTATGGCACAGAGGCTGGATGGCCATTTCTCAGGAGCGCTTTGATTCCTGCATGGGAAGGAGTTGGACCAAATGGTTCTTCTAGTCTCTTCAAACTATGTTTCTATTAGTCTATTCTATAAATGTGATATATATATGATTGCCACTAAAAGTAATTGCTTTTTAAAGGTTATACTTCATCAAATACTGTTAATGTCATTATTTTCGTGTAAGTAATAATAATAAATCTTTCTTTATATGCCACTTTTCTCCAATGAAGGGACCCAAAGTGGCTTCCAACATGTAAAAATACAATACTGTAGTCATTAAAAGAACATTGGAACTAAAACCTGCATTGGCTTTCTGGCCTTCCCTCTGTTTCTTTTCCTTTGTAGCATCTGTTTATTTTTTTATTTATGCATTTATTTATATCCGGCTTTATCTCTCCATACAGTGACTCAAAGCAGCTCACAATAAAAAACATTACAGCTTAAAATATACCAATATATCATAATAAAACAGTATATTGTTATATATTATATATTATCAGTAGTAATTCTATTTAATATATTGGTATTACTATAGAATAATATTATTATATTACTATTATATTGTAGTATTATTATTAGTGTTATATTGCATTACATTATAATATTATAATCAATAATATTTGTATATTCAATATATTATATTATTAGCATAGCATAATATTAGTATTATATATTACTATATTGTACTATACCACTATACTGAAATATTATTAGTTATATTACATGTAATATATAATATACAATTATTATATTACTATAATATTGTAATATATTACATTACAATATCTATAATACACTACCGGAATATCATTGAATGACGAAGAAGTTTTTATCCTGCCTTTTAATGTTGTCTTTTTAACCTGTTTTATGGTCGCTGCATATCACCTCATTCTTCTATAAGGTTTTAGCTATTCATTTTTAGATGTTTTTTTTATCTAGTGATAAATTTATATTATGTGCTTATGTTTTTATGGGTCATTTAAGCTTTATCTTTGGTTATTTTTGTCTGTTATTAATTTTAAAGTTATGTTGCTTTTTTATTGCTTGATGTGGCATGCTTTGATGTTATTTGTTTGCATGTTTTTCCTTTCTGGCATTGAATGTTAGCCATATATGTTGGAAACTGCCCTGATTCCCCTTGAGGAGATAGGGCACTCTACAAATATTATTATTATTATTATTATTATTATTATTATTATTATTTGAAACACAATAAGATGAGGTCACAGCAGATATTCTGCTGGCTGTTGTTTTCGATCAGACGTTGCACACTTCCCAAGTGTCTAGGATTGTGTGTATCGGCGAATAATGCGTGCAGATCCCAATAAGGTGGCCTTCTGCAGCTGGCAGATGGTAATTTTGTCAGCGCCGATTGTGTTTAAGTGCAGGCCAAGGTCTTTAGGCACTGTGCCAATCACCACTGGGACCACCTTGACTGGTTTATGCCAGAGTCTTTGCAGTTCGATCTTTAAATCCTCATATCGTGTCAGCTTTTTCCAGTTGTTTCTCTTCAATCCTGCTGACACCTGGAATTGCAGCATCGACGATCCATACTTTGTTTTTTAACACGATTGTGAGGTCAGGAGTATTGTGCTCCAAAACCTTGTCTGAATACAGAAGTCTCAGAGTAGCTTGACGTGTTCATTCTCTGTAACTTTTTCTGGCTTGTGATTCCACCAGTTCTTTGTCGCAGGCAGATGGTATTTGTGGCACAAGTTCCAATGAATCATCTGAGCAACGGTGTTATGCCTCTGCTTGTAGTCTGTCTGTGTAATCTTCTTGCAGCAGCTCAGGATATGATCTATGGTTTCATCTGCTTCCTTGGGATCTGTTGTCGACTTTTCAATTCTGGCTTTGATGGCATTGGTTCTAATGGCTTGTTCTTGGACTGCCAGAATCAGGGCCTCCGTCTCCTTTTTCAAAGTCCCATTTGTGAGCCACAGCCATGTTTTTTCTTTGTCAATTTGGCTCTCAATTTTTCCCAGGAACTGTCCTTGGAAAGCCTTCTTTCGCCAGTTTTCTCTTCTGCTCTGGATTGTGTTTTTACTCTTTGTCTTTTGCACTTGAAGCGGTTTACTACTGTTGGTTCTTGACTGCCTTTAACATAATCTGCCAGTGCATGTTTTTCTTCTACTACTGTTTGTTTCACTTGCAGAAACCCTCTGCCTCCTGATTTTCTCGGCAGGTATTATTATTATTATTATTATTATTATTATTATGGTTGGGTTGCTATTTCTATAATCTATGGTTATGTTTTAATTACTTTTTTACTTTAATTGAGTTGCTTCTGTTAATCTTGTTAGTTGTTATTTTATGTTAATTTGTGTTTGTTTGTTTTTGCAAATGTTGTTGTATTCTATGTGTTTTGTGTTGCACCTTCGTTGTGCAATTTTGTAAGCCATCCTGAATCCCTTTTGGGAGATGGTGGCAGGATATAAAGTTGTTGTTGTTGTTATACTACTAAGGTAAAAGGTTCCCCTGATATTAAGTCTAGTCATGTCCGATTCTGGGGGGTGGTGTTCATCTCCATTTAAGACCAAAGAGTCAGCATTGTCCGTAGATGTCTTTAAGGTCATGTGGCCAGAATGAGTGCCTAGAGCGCCATTACCTTCCCGCATAAAACTGTTTTCACATGTTTTATGTAATTATGTTGTTGTTTATTGTCTGCGTTTTGGTTTATTTTATTGTAATTTGTAGTTTGGGCTTGGTCTCATGTAAGTCGCTCCGAGTCCCCATTTGGGAGATGGTGGCGGGGTATAAATAAAGTTTATTATATTATTATTACTGATCTACTCACATTTGCATGTTTTCAAACTGCTAGGTTGGAAGAAGCTGGGGCTAACAGCAGGAGCTCATCCCGCTCCGCAGATTTTAACCGCCAACTTTTCAGTCAGCAAGTTCAGCAGCTCAGCAGTTTAACATGCTGTGCCATCAGGGAGTCGATTGGTTATATAAACTCATAAAAAAGGAACAATGAAGTATTTCATAAGTAAGGAGAATTCAGTTAAATTTAAATTAAACCCAAGGATGTAGGTCCACACAGCAGAATAAAATCCCACATGATCCGCTTTGAACTGGATTATATGGCAGTGTGGATTCAGATAACACAATTCAAAGCAGATATTGTGGGGTTTTCTGCCTTGATATTCTGAAATGTATGGTTGTGTGGACAAGCCCATAAAATAACACTAAAATCCATCTTATTCTGGAGTTTACTGCTTTGTGCATCCAGTTACTTCGTGGAATAGAGTCCTAACCGTTTCCTCTTGGCCTTGAAGAGAATGTCCTCCACACTGGCCTTCAGAGACCCAGATTCGTCTTCTTTCAGCACTTCCCTAGGAGGAGAGATGGAAAGGGTTATTGTGGAAGGCTGACATTTTGGAAAAACATTCAGGAAAGCATGGAAAACATTCAGGAAAAGAAAGGCAGGCTTACCATGTTCTTTCATAACCCCCTTCCCATCGTTTGGTTCTTTCAGGTTCTTCTTCCATGGCTCTCAGTCCAAGTCTTTCTAGCTAAGAGAGGAAGAAAGAAGCCGCGCTAGGAAACACGCCTCTCTGGTTATGTCCGTCGGTCTAAAACTTCCGGTCGCAGCGCGAGCCCCGAGAAGAAGTGTTCCGCTGTCACAGGAGGCCGGGGAAACTTGGGCGGAGCCCGAGGCTGTTAGGAATTGTGGGAGTTGAAGTCCAAAACACCTGGAGCGCAGGCCCAAGTTTCCCCAGGCCTGGGTATAAGCAATGGTGAAGGATTGAATCAGTCTTCACTGTGTATCCGAGTCTACACTGCCATATAATCCAGTTCAAAGCAGATAATCTGGGTTTTATGCAGCACCATAGAAGGGGCCTAAGCTGAATCATTGCCAATCTTTAAGAGGCCGCAGGACTAACACAACAATTGTATTGTACTTTGGAAAATGCTTAATTTTTTTTGGGAGGGTCAGCTAATACTTTCCAATAAAGGATTGCCCCAGGCAGGAAGCAGCCAGGCTTTGAAGCTGCAAGGCTATTCATTGCTAATCGTGGTGGCCAGTTGCAGCATTCACACCTGTCTAAAACAAACAGACAGACAAATTACTAAATATACACATAAATATCCGCATCCAATTGTGTTCACTGAACAAACCCTCTAAAAAAAACCCCTCTAAAATCAGGACAGTAAATAGAGAGCAACGCTCAAAACACAGGGGTATTCCAGACAAAAATCAATCAGGGCCAGCTAAGAAAGGATTCTCACAGGCAGCAATCAGCCAGGCTTTGAAGCTGCACGGCCATTAAATGCTAATCAAAGTGGCCAATTGAAATATTCTTATCAGCTAACACCTTCCAACAGAGGATTGCCCCATGCAGGAAGCAGCCAGGCTTTGAAGCTGCAAGGCTATTCAGTGCTAATCGTGGTGGCCAATTGCAGCATTCACACCTACCTAAAACAAACAAGACAGACAAATTACTAAATAAACACATAAATATCCGCATCCAATTGCGTTCACTGAACAAACCCTCTAAAAAAAAACTCTCTAAAATCAGGACAGTAAATATAAAGCAACGCTCAAAACACAGGGGAATTCCAGACAGAAATCAATCAGGGCCAGCTAACAAAGGATTCTCACAGGCAGCAATCAGCCAGGCTTTGAAGCTGCACGGCCATTAAATGCTAATCAAAGTGGCCAATTGCAATATTCATATCAGCTAACACCTTCCAACAGAGGATTGCCCCAGGCAGGAAGCAGCCAGGCTTTGAAGCTGCAAGGCTATTCAGTGCTAATCATGGTGGCCAATTGCAGCATTCACACCTGCCTAAAGGAGCCCCCCGGTGGCGCAGTGGGTTAAGCCCCTGTGCCGGCAGGACTGAAGACCGACAGGTTGCAGGTTCGAATCCGGGGAGAGGCGGATGAGCTCCCTCTGTCAGCTCCAGCTCCCCAAGCGGGGACATGAGAGAAGCCTCACACAAGGATGATAAAAACATCAAATCATCCGGGCAACGTCCTTGCAGACGGCCAATTTCCTCACACCAAAAGTGACTTGCAGTTTCTCAAGTTGCTCCTGACACGACAAAAAAAAAAACCTGCTTAAAACAAACAAACAAGAAAATTACTAAATATATGCAATATCCACATCTAATCATGTTCACTGAACAAAATCTGGCTACCAGTATTTAAAAAAACCTCTAAAATCACGACAGTAAATAAAGAGCAACACTCAAAACACATTCCAGACAAGAATCCAGACAAGAATCAATCAGGGCCAGCTAACAAAGGATTCTCACAGGCAGCAATCAGCCAGGGTTTGAAGCTGCACAGCCATTAAATGCTAATCAAAGTGGCCAATTGCAATATTCATATCTGCCTCCAACAGACCAGAGTGTTTTCTCCCACCCTGGACATTCCACAGATATATAAACCTCGCTTGCCTAGTTTCCAACAGAGCTCTCAACCTCTGAGGATGCCTGCCATAGATGTGGGTGAAGCGTCAGGAGAGAATGCTTCTGGAACATGGCCATACAGCCTGGAAAACTCACAGCAACCAAGCTTTATTTATTTATTTATATCCCACTTTATCTCTCCATGCGAAGACTCAAAGTGGCTCGCAATCTAAAACATTACAATTTAAAATATACCAATATACACCTACTGTGAACTGCCCTGAGTCTCCTGCGGACTGAGAGGGATGGTATATAAATATAGTAGATAAATAAATAAATAATACAATAATAAAATAGTATATTATTATTTATTATTATATATTATCAGTCATAATTATATTTAATATCGTAGCATTACTATATTACAATTTTATTATTATATATTATTATATTACATTATTATTATATTGTATTACATTATAACATTATTATCAATATTATATTTATTTACAATATTTATATTATTAGCATAGCACAATACGAGTATTCTACATTATAATGTAGTTGTGCATCCAGACTGCACAATTAATGCATTTTGACTCCATTTTAACAAGCTTGGCATAGTTTTCAATGTGAGTAATCCTTCAGTTTCCAGAGATACCATATTCTTCCCAGCATTTTTTTCTGTCGTGTCAGAAGCGACTTGAGAAACTGCAAGTCACTTCTGGTGTGAGAGAATTGGCCGTCTGCAAGGACGTTGCCCAGGGGACGCCCGGATGATTTGATGTTTTTATCATCCTTGTGGGAGGCTTCTCTCATGTCCCCGCATGAGGAGCTGGAGCTAACAGAGGGAGCTCACCCGCCTCTCCCCGAATTCGAACCTGCGACCTGTCGGTCTTCAGTTCTGCCGGCACAGGGGTTTAACCCACTGCGCCACCGGGGGCCCCCTCCCAGCAATGAAAAGAACTATATCTGCAACATTCATTTGTTGCAAGCCAACAGCATTTTGCTATAAATTTTAAAGTTAGGAAATGTTTGAGTTCAAGTTCAAAGTCCCTTCCTACAGCGCCTTTTTCTGGCTGAGTTTGAAACCGTGTGAGATTTGTTTGTATTAGTTCTTTTGTGTTACTGAAACATTTTTCTTAAGGGAGGACTGATTGTTTACATATTCTTCATTAAGAAATGCAGTATCAAAAGTTGCTTGTTAGTAAATTCTATTTTAACTTGTTCAGGAAACATGCAAGCCATACCCAGATGCCCCAACTTTTTTTTTTTTGGTCATGTTGACCCCGAGAGCGGCGGAGGCCCCCGCCTTCAAATTAGTATGAACTGCAGCGGAGAGTTCCGCAGTTCCTGGGAGCCAAGTTTGGGACCAACTGATGAAATGTGCCCCAGCAGACAGCTCAAAACCTAGGACTGCACTCAGCCTTCTATTACTTTCCCCCTCTCCTTACTTTGTAGCCAATCCCTAATAAAGATACTTGAAAATTGCAACTTTTAACTTTTCCGCTTGATACTTTGTGTCCTTCGCTGCCAAAGCTAACCCAAGCATGAAATAAACCCCTTTCTAGGCTCCAGGCGACCGCGGGCCTGCCTGGAATGCCTTCTGGACGTCCTGGGGAGGCCGAATATGCGTCAATTGGAACCACGGATACGGAGGCCTTCCTATTGGGCCCCCGTATCCGCTAAAATCTCAAAATGGCGGATCGGCCCCGTTTTAATGCCATATTTTTCTTTACTCAATTCTTAACTAAACTGCTATCTCGCTTTTCTCATTTTGGATCCCTACGCCTGGGAAATAATTAATTCGTTTTAAGAAATATTATTTGACAGAAAACAGATGATTGTCAAACTTCGCCGGTTCCGCGCAAGCAGTCAATTTCTCTTTGTTGCCGCTCGTTCCTGCCTAGCCCCGCAACTGGGGACTTGCTGTGGATGCCCCCAGGAGACCTCAGAGAGGGGGCCGGGCAGGAGGCCCAGTTCTTGGGAAGGAGTTGCAGTTCCCCAAGGACCAAGCTATGGATTTTGCTACAGATCAACGCAGCGCCCAGCTGTTGACATTGGCCAAGGAAAAATGGCTTTCTGCTGCTTGTCTTGGACTGCAAGCCACCTCCGTTTCCACGAACTTTCCCCAGAAGCATGGGACTTCAAGTTTTCAAATAAAAATTAATTATTTTATTAAATGATTAAGATGTGGGGTGGGAATGGGGTTTTTCTATATGAATTTTGTATTAATGATAATGCATGAAGTATCGCTTGTTTCCCGCCTTTCCCCTTGCCCTTTGCTCCAGAAAATGTGACCAAGGAATGTTGAAATGCCCGAGGGAGGACCCCTGCCTCCCTCGAAACTTATTTTGATTATTTCACATCTGTATAGACAATAACAAGTTAATATTTCCTTTCCCACTCTCTGAGTTCATCTGGCGGGCGAGGAAGTCTATTTGGACACTCTGATTGATTTACAAAGGACAGGAACGACCCCTGGGTCCCCTGTCCTGACCCTGTTTGTTCTCTCCACCAAAACCCATCAAGGACACTCCTTATCTAAGACAAGGACAGGAAAGCCTTTCTTATGAAGATCGCACCTAGCCAGCCAAAAACAAAGCCTCACATTCGAGCTGGCCAGCTATCGAAAATCCCATCATTTCCTCCATTGTCCGCAGTCGTCCCGCCTTCTCTCTTCTGATTCGTCCATCCTCGGAAGCGAGAGAAGCGCGCTGATTGGCCCTCCAGAGGCGTAGACGCTTGCTGATTGGCCCAGAGCAAGGCGGGTCGCCAAGCCTCCTCCCAGCTGTTCGGGCTGTCAACCAATCAGCGCGAAGCCGGGCGGAGAGGGGCGGGCGGGAAATTCAAAATGTTTTGCTGTGTTTTCTCTATAAAAATGCTTGTAAATTCTGTAGCGGCATGCTTGTAGAGGAGATATCCCTACACTAGCATCCGATTGCAGCTGAATCGCAAATAAAGACACCTCGTTCGCCAACTTCTTCCGCTTTGGTGAGGATTTATTATTTTAAATATTTTTGCTGCTGGAATTGGCTTTGCTGCCCTCACCAAGGTTCAAGGACCCTCTTTGGTGCGGTCCTCAGGATCTCCTTGGCTGGGGAGACTCTCCTAAAAGAGGTTCGATATCAATGTCAGGAGCGACCTGAGAAACTGCAAGTCGCTTCTGGTGTGAGAGAATTGGCCGTCTGCAAGGACATTG